CTTAGATAGCACAGCCTGTGGGTCGTGTGGGACTAGACCAGCGCCTCTAAAGCCAGCTTGGATATTCTCCTTCGTGATAGACTGCTCAAAAGCAGTCTTAAAGGCTGGTAGGAAGGTCTCTTTGCTGATATAGTGGGTGCGGTTGCGTGCCAAGCCTGAAATAGCGTCGCCATACTTGCGCTTTAACGGCGAGAAGCAGGCGACGTTAAGGGGCTGCAACAGGTAAGACGAGTGCGCAGGCATGCAGAGAAGCACAATATTCTTCTCCTTGCAAAGATCTTGGAAATTGACAGAGTAGTGGCTCTTATGGCCATTAATAATGAGCAGTCGATACCCACCCATAGTAGAGCTCTTTGTATGGGTATTAAAGTGCTCTAACTAGGCAAGACTAAGCTAATTATTTGTCTAGCTATTAGGACTGACTTTAAGAACCTAGTTAGCAGGCAAATCCTCAAACTAGACGTTAATAAGCACCTTGCCCGCAAAGACAACGAAGGGTGGTATTTGGCGACCCAACGCGCCCACGCCTTAGATCACAGTAACCCACTCACGGTTGCCTAGCTGTATCTGCTTCTTTTTTCTATATCCTTTTAATGCTGTAATAACTAACTGTAATAAAATCTTGCCTATTATAAAGCTAGTCTTGTCAAAGTTGTAGATATCGTCGTCCACAATACCCCACTTCTGCCTTGTCGCCTGGACTAAGTCGAACTAGCGCTGGATAGCCACTAGATCCTCGCAGGCGGCTCGCTAGTGATTATAGGGACGGCTCTAGCGCGTATAGAGCTCAGGAGTCCGCTTAACGAAGTTGTTAACCTAGTTCTTGCCAACAGGGTTGCCACTACGCTCCTGTTACGAACCTGAGGAAGGGACACAGCGCAAGATATGGAAAGAAGGAAGGAAGCAGCCCATGTCAAGACCTCTTTCATTGACCATGGCAAAGTAGCCAATGACGCAAGTGCGGACCCTACGTTCCATACGCTTGGCGGAACGCCACCACGAAACAAGTCACGTGTGTTCCGCATGTTCCACGTTGTTGCGCAAAGTTCCACGCACGGAACATCATGAAACTATATGGAACATATGGAACATATAGGTATATAGGAATAGGCATTAAACCCTTATAGCTCGATGTGTTCAACTTAAGTTACAAGTACAAGTACAATACAGACATTATACTTGCAGAGACACTGTTCATATTACCCTGTTGCTTCATCCGCGAAAACCAACCTAAGAAGAGTCTTAACACCAGAAGTCTTATATCACTTCTACTTAAGATTCATACTCTTAACACTTTGAACACCCTCACGATGAGCGACATTGTTATGAACACACCGGAGTCTTCCCAGACTGGAGGCATGATCAAGAATTCCAACAAACCAGACCTTTACCACGGCGAACGCCACAAACTGGAAACATAGATCCTCCAGGTTGATCGATACTTTCACCTCGCGGGAGATAGCATTAAAGACAACGACAAGGTTATCTAGGCTACTACTTTCTTCCGAGGAGACGCTGAAAAATGGGTCACCCCTATCATCAAACGATACATGGATACGAGCACTACCGACGGAGACAATACACGACTGGTGCACGATTAGGACCTATTTAAGGAAAAATTACGACAAAACTTCTCACCCTTTAAGGAATTGGTTATCGCAGAACAAAAGATTCAGTCACTTAAGCAAACAAGATCTGCCGCCGAATACACCACGATGTTCCAACAATACTCGACAATCATTGGATGGGACAACAATGCACTAATGCGCATGTACCGACAAGGCCTGAAGCCAATAGTACGCAGGGAACTTATGAGAAGTGGAGCCAACATCGACACTCTAGAAGAACTCACAAAAGAAGCTGTTCGACTTAACAACGAACTGTACGAACTGGCACTTAAAGAACGACTCTTCAACAGACAATCCTATAAGGAGGATAGGAACAATCAATCACGACAACAACAACCTCGACGTTCAACCCCTAACATAGGACGGCAGCAAAGCCATACACCCCAAACTCCAGGATCTTACCATAGATACAGTGCGCAACTTATGCACCTTAACAACATCATAAAAGGAAATAGGTTTAGAAGGGCTAAGCCTAAGGAAGGACCTAAGGGTCAGCACAGCAAGAGTATCACTTGCTATGCCTGTGGCAAGGAAGGTCACATGGCACGGGACTGTCGAAACAAGAACAAAGTCACCCAACAGTTGAACGTTATCCACAAGGACTCTGGCCTAGACGACGGCGAGTCATGGAACATTATCACCCAAGCCTAAGTCAAGTACAATCCACACGACGAAGAAACTATCTCAGGACTTGAGGACTTGATGCTCACGACTACAGAAAGCAGCGATGAGGAAGAAAACCCACGCAGCAAGGAAGGAAACCCGCTAAGCGATGAGGAATACAAGACGCTAGCAGAGGAACAGGAGTTTCCCGCGGCCACTACGAAACACGAGAAGATGGTCCGATTCAAGGAAAAGAACTAACCACCTACGCCAAAGCCAGCAGAGCTTGAACTAGCACAAGAAGAACCCTAATAGGATCTTGTACAACACGACAACCTAAGTAAACTCCAATAGGCACAGAGGGCACAAGAATCATGGCGACAATCTCAGCAGGCGCAACAAGTCATCAACACCTGGTACTAGTACGACGCGCGCAATGCCCACCACGCTAAGCTATCATGGACCGCATGCACACACGAATACTGTCTAGCCCACTACTCCGAAAAACAATACTTAGGATGGAGCCCTAAAACTATCAAAGGACACCCTAAGTGCAAATACCACTAGTTCGAATGCGTAGATGACACATGTCCAAAACATCTATGGGATAAGAGGGAAAAGGCATACTTCCCAGGACATGAAGACCCACAGGAGGTCATACAGATGCAAATGGTATACCGGGTAGAGTACGCAGACGACTACGCGTACGAGTGCCGACAACCTAACTGGCACACATGCCTCAAGAATGAGTGCGATTTACATAGGAAAGAAAAGAACTACCACGGATTTGCAAAGTCTTTTTTAGGCCAGCGCCACGAAGGCAGGGCCTAGCCAGGGCAATTAACGCAATAGAACCCCTAGGACTGATAAAGCTCGCAGTAGAGCTCAACAACGTACGGATGCAGGCACTAGTGGACTTAGGATCACAGGCGAATTACGTTTCAGCGCACGCAGTTAGGGAAGCCAGACTTACCCAGCTACGGAA